ACTCTTCTGAGCACAAGGATTGGCCTATTTTCTAGTTATTTGTACTTTTCCCAGGACCTAAAAAAGTAAAAAAATCTCTGAAAACACAAATGCAAGGTGGAGAATTGGCTATCTTGGAAGCCTATTTTTTGGGAGTCGAGACTCATTCTACTAGGGCAGTGGCTACTTTTTGGACTGCTAGGGCAAGTGCTTCCCCTATCCAGATCTGCATAGCCGCCACCTGGTCCAGCTTCTGAACCTTTGTAAACTGTGTGGACATGCTCTCCAGTCAAGAACAGGCCTTCGGGAGGAAGGTACTGCAAGCCGTGGTCCTACCCTAATCAGGCAGTTATTTTTAGTAGTCTCTCCTAAGCCATCAGAAAACCATCAGTTATTACCTGATAACTTACTTTTCAGGAATCTTCCAAGAATGGCGCCTATTCCCTGTGTTTTTTCCTTAATGGAGTGAGGATTTTTTTTTTATCCAATGTTGTCTTTCTTTTTCATGCCTACGGTTGTTTGTTATGACTGATGCTATGCTGTGGTGCATGCTTTTTATAATGTGGATCATGTGTTTCCTGTGCCTTGTAAGCCATCCTGGAAAATGAGTTAACAGATAACTCTGTTTTCATGAAGACTTGCCTTTTAGACTCATGTAGAATCATTCTATGTTCCAAATCTAACACAACTGTTTTTTCACAATTTCTGTTTATGATCCTGACTCAGTGGTTGAATTGTCCTTGCAAGGACTTGTTATACAATGTTGTATTGTCATGCTCACAATATATACTGCGTTCTATATGTAACCTCATTTTATTATCAATAAAACCTTTGGTATCAGAAAATCCCTAAGATGTGTTGCAGATGGCCTTTCAATTGAATACTATGGATGTTACCGTGTACATGCACTAGGGTAGTACGTACTAGTTGTCAGAAAAGATCTATGAGAAAAGTTGTTCAGTCTTGGGAAGGCTTTAAAGCTAAGAGCTTTGGAGGGCTGACATTTTAGGTAAATATAACCCGAGAAAAGTTTTAGTACTGTGAGGGAGGCACACAAAGGATAGAAGCAATACAAGTGCAATAAATACTGAAGAAATATCTGGTAATGAACACCTACCTACATGTGAAAAATGCTTCTGTATTGCTCTCAAAAATATTAGTTTTTGTAAGTAAGGCAGTTTTTCAAAAATGCCCTTTTTTGTTTTTAGAATTTGTGTTATTACACTGGCCGAATGTCATCCAGTTCTTCAGAGTGGGAAAACTATTTCCAGTATTAGTTATCAAATCAGCGCCAACTGCAGCAGGTTGCTGAATAAAGTGTCAGGGAAGTCCAAACGGGTGAGTATGTTCTATGTCTTTCTATACATTCATCTTTTTGTTTTACTTTTTTTTTTGTCATTTATTTAATAAACACTGAGCCGTATTTGTGTGATTCTTCCTCATCAATATTTCTATTGCACTTAGAGTTGGTCAGCTGCACAGAGATACTAATACTTTACAGTAATATCCCACAACTGCACAGGCAGAATTAATAATGAACTAAAATTTATTATTTTATTATTACAGGTACTTGTATAACGCCGTAAATTTGTGCTATCCCTCAAGGAGTTTACCATCTAAGCTTCCTAACACACATTCATACATACATATACTATGGCCAATTTTAGGCGGGAGCCAATTCACCTACCAGCATGTCTTTGGAGTAGGGCAAAATAGGCTCGGTCTCTCTCTGAAAAGTGTAATACATTAGGCCAGCACTCCTTTTTTTCTCTTAGTATTATAGCAGGGTGTTAAATACAAAGACATTAATGAAAGTGTTGTCTGTATTTAAAAGCACAATTTTATTGCAGCCCATGTACTCCTAAAATACTTGGCTATGGATCTCCCAAGATGCAAAAATACATTTTAAATTGTGATATTCAGTAGAACCCAAAAGGGGGTAGGCTATCAGATCTAATAAGTTCATTTTTTATCACACTCCCCAAGTTTTTTGGGGGGGCTAAAACTATAAAATGCATAATACGGTATGTTGCACGGTAATTACGTCCAGCAAAGTTTGACTACAAGTGAGCAGTAGCACATACTTGCCATGTATGTTCAGCACTATATAAATTTACTTTTGTCTTTATACAAAAGCTTATTTATTTCCAGATACTCAGAGTATCCTGAATTAGGAGCTCCAAGGTATGCAATTGGGGATTTCCAAAACTATGTTCTACGAGCAACTTAAAGGGTAACGTTTATAGAAAAACATGCCATTTCCCTCCACTATGCAGTTGGCTTTGCTGTAATAGTTATTCACAGATTATTCACAGATTCTAAAACCTTAGTGATTGTTGCAGTCAATGAACAAATGGAGGCTTACTGATAAGCAGTCCCTTAAATTAGTTAATTTTATAGCCATGAAGGTAGGTCATCTACATAGCATGGAGCAAATGTATAGATTGTGATAGGGTATGTTTTGAAATGGGAGTCTTCAGGGGAGATTTCCCTTAGTAGTCAGACCAACCACTCTTTGGCAAACTTGCATTTATTGAATAAAGCTAAGATAAGGCTTTCTTCACATCTTTTGTGAAGGGTATTTAGATAGTCTGTTTGCAAACTTTGTTCAGAACATACAGGTGCATCTCAATTAGAAAATTATCAAAAAGTACATTTTTTTTTTCTTTTTTCTTTTTTTTTCAGTAATTCAATTCAAAAAGTGAAACTTATATATTGTATACAGTTCGGTCCATATATATTTGGACACAGGCACAATTTTAGATTTTTATTCTGGAAAAGCATTCTTTGGAGGGATGAAACTAAGGTTAATCTGTACCAGAATGATGGAAAGAAAAAAAGTGTGGAGAAGGCCTGGAACAGCTCATGATCCAAAGCACACAACGTTATCTGTAAAACATGGAGGCAGTGTGATGGCATGGGCATGCATGGCTTCCAGTGGCACTTGGTCATTGGTGTTTATTGATGATGTAGCAAAAGACAGAAGCCGCCGGATGAATTCTGCAGTGTTTAGAGATGTACTGTCAGCCCAGATTCAGCCAAATGCAGCAAAGTTGATTGGACGGCGCTTCACTGTACAGATGGACAATGATCCAAAACACACTGCAAAAGCAACCCATGAGCTTTTGAAGGAAAAGAAGTAGAATATTCTGCAATGATCGAGTCAATCACCTGATCTCAACCCAGTTGAGCATGCATTTCACTTGCTTAAGGCAAAACTAAAGGCAGAAAGACCCACAAAGAACAACTGAAAACAGCTGCAGTTAGAGCCTGGCAAAGCATCAGGAAGGAGGAAACCCAGTCTTTGGTAATGTCCATGGGTTCCAGATTTTAGACAGTCATTCCCAGTAAAGGTTTCTCAACCAAATATAAAAAAATGAACATTTTATTTATGATTATATTAATTTTTCCAATTACTTTTGGTCCCTTGAAAAAGGGGGGATGGCTACTCTTAAGAGCTGTAATTCCTAAATCCTTCCTCCAATTTGGATGTACATACCCTCAAATTAAACCTGAGAGTGTGCACTTTCAGCCCATATCCATTCTATGACTATAGCTCGAATATATGTTTTGGTACATACCTAAAAAAAAAAAAAAAAAAAAAAAAGATTTGTGCCTGTGTCCAAATATATATGGACCTTACTGTAGATTCATTAAACAGAGTGATATATTTCATGTATTTTCCTTTTAATCTTGATGAATATGGCTTACAGATAGTGAAAACCCAAAATTTAGTATCTCAGAAAATTAGAATATTGTGAAAAAGTTCAATATTGTAGTCTCATGGGGGTTTATTTACTAAAGCTGGAGAGTCCAAAATCAGACTCCCTTCTGCATAGAAACCAATCAGCTTCTAACCTCCGCTTGTTCAATGAAGCTTTGGCAATGAAACCTGGAAGCTGATTGGTTTCTATGCAGAAGGGAGTCTGATTTTGGACTCTCCAGCTTTAGTAAATAAACCCCATGGTGTCACGCTTTAATCGGCTAATTAACTCAAAACACCTGTAAAGGTTTCCTCAGCCTTTAAACATTTTTTTTAAAATTTTTTTACATTTTTTTTTTTTTTTGTACTGTCCATTTAAAAAAAATTTTAAATCACTTTTATTCTTATCACAAGAAATGCATGCAACCCTTGTGATAGAAATAATTAGTGACAGCTCCTCTTTATGGAGCGATATGGGGTCCATTAGACCCCGTATCTCTCCATTGCAATGTAAATCACTGGATCATTTTTTTTTAAAGCACTAAAGCAATTTTTTGGGGGGGGGTTTTGCCCGGAACCGGAAGTTACATTGCTCCAGTCCTCCAAGGGCAAAATAAAGCTCTCTCTGTCACAAAAATGATAAAAAGTTCATATGGGTACAGTGTTGCATGACTGTGCAATTGTCATTCAAAGTGTGACAGCGCTGAAAGCTGGAAATTGGCCAGGGCAGGAAGGGGGTATAAGTGCCCTGTAGGCTAGTGGTTAAATGGTCTCCCAGTTTGGTTCAGTAGGTTACACAAATCATGGGGAAGTTACTGACTTGACAGTTGTCCAGAAGACAGTCATTGACACCCTCCACAAGGAGGATAAGTCACAAAAGTTAATTGCTAAAGAAGCTGGCTGTTCAGAGTTGTATTCAGGCATATTAATGGAAAGTTGAGAAAAGGAAAATGTGTTCTAGAAAAAAGGTGCTCAAGCAAAAGGGATAACCACAGCCTTGAGAGGACTGTAAAGCAAAAGCCATTCAAGAATTTGGGGGAGATTCACAAGGAGTTGACTACGTCTGGTGTCAGTGCTTCAAGAGCCCACAGACACAGATGTACCCAGGACATGGGCTACAGCTGTTGCATTCCTTGTGTCAAGCCACTCCTGAACTGGGGACAATGTCAGAAGCGTCTTACCTGGGCTAAGGAGAAAAAGGACTGAACTGTTGCTCAGTGGTCCACAGTTCTCTTTTCGGATGAAAGTAATTTTGCATTTCATTTGGAAATCAAGGTCCTAGAGTCTGGAAAAAGAGAGTGGAGAGGCACAGAATCCAAGTTGCATGAGGTACAGTGTGAAGTTTCCACAGTCAGTGATGATTTGGGGAGCCATGTCATCTGCTGGTGTTGGTTGACTGTGTTTTATCTAGTCCAAAGTAAGTGAATCCCTCTACCAGGAAATTCTGGAGGACTTCATGCTTCCCTCTGCTGACCAGCTTTATGGAGATGCTGATTTCATTTTCCAGCAGGGCTTAGCTCCTTCCCACACTGCCAAATGTACCAATACCTGGTTTAATGATCATGGTATGACTGTGCTTGATTGGCCAGCAAAGAAGCCCGACCAAGTATTGAGTACATACTATACTGTACATGGACATACTTTTCAGTAAGCCAACATTTCTGTATTAAAAATCCTTTTTTTTTTTTTTTATTGGTCTTATGTAATATTATGTTACTGAATTTGGGATTTTACTAGCTGTGAGCCATAATCATCCACATTAAAAAAAAAAAAAGAGAAATGTTTGATATATCACTGTGTGTAATGAATCTATAGGATTGTCACTTTTTCAATTGAATTACTGAAATCAACATTTTGATTATATTCTAATTTTATTGAGATGCACCTGTATGCCTATATTCCAAACTTTAAGTTTGCTCTATTCATTTCCCTTTACATAACTTTTTTTGCAGATACAGCATTCCAAACAAGGCCAAAACGTCAGTATGCATCATAAATATGTAGCGTTTTTTGTTGCTGAATGTTCCATCCACATGTTGTAGGCTTCAGAGCATCTGTGCACATAAAAAATGTGTAGTGATTTCTTATTGCTCAAAGCCACACATGGATCTTCCACAAAGGAAATCTTGATATATAATAAATCATAGTTTCAGTAATTTTTAAAAGCAGTATATTTGGGACAGTCTTGTTCATCTTCAGGTTCAGAAGTGCAAATCATGTCAGTCTTGTCACAAATTTGGAGAAAGTTGTAGTCGTAAGGTGTTGAAATAATGCTCTCATAGTTCCATTTGAATATTGAAACAAATAGTTCTTTGGACACAGACATCTTGCAAACCTGTTTTTGCTTTCACAGCTTTGTCAGAGCAGCCTGTAGGTATGCTGCCCAAGCGTTGGTTAAACACAACTACTGGCATGAATGCCAGAACAAAAAACCCCAGCCCATCATCTCATCTCACCCATCTCTCGCTGCTTTTTCCAAGTTGTCATGCATTGGGAAAAAAAATCCATTTGCATAGTGGAGGGACATGCTATTTGCATAGTGAGATGTACATATGCATATTTGTGCTTTTATGGTTTTTAGCCCCACCAATAATTAGGGTGACTGGGGTTCTGTAGAATCTCTCAAGGATTCTGAGAGATTTTCACCTATTGGACCCTATTAAATTTCACTGTTTATTTATAAACTTTTTTTTTTTAATGTTTCAATATAGATGTTGGGATGCTGGATTTTCTTCTCATTGTGGAGAGATCCATATCTGTTCTAGTCTTGTGTGAATATACTAAATACCCTTGCATAGATTTGGTACAGACTGGAGAAAAAAACAAATTGCTGCACTTAGAGTAACTAAACGGCTTTGATTTGGAGCTTATTGAAAAAAGACTATGGAATCTTTTGGTTGACATACATTTTCCTCTTTTTCAGAAAATTTGACTTGAAATGATAGTTGCTTGGCTGTATCTGGCTTTAAGACTTTGAGTCACTGACCTAGAATAAGCATGTAGCTAGTGAATTCAGAGGAAAGTCTGACTAGTGGTGGTCATTCTTGTTGCAGATCAATGACTCAAAACCTTGGGCCTTTTGATTACAAGGCTGGCAACTAGTATTTTTAAAAGGAGATCCCAACACAGATTTCCTTGAGAGAAAAATAAAAAGTGCTTCACAGTAGGCAGGTAATAGTAGGGCAGTGGAAATCAGGGGCTAGGCAGGGGGAAGTTTGTGAAAATGCCACTTGCCTTTTAATGGTTACCTGGTTAATCTGTAGATTAAGGTTCCCTGTATGATGCCATTTAAATGTTACATTCCCCCTAGCTGTCATACCAGGCTGTTACTGGCCCACTGACAATCAAAACCAAACAGTGGTTCAGCTATGATGGATCACAAAGCTGATCTTTTAGTCTGCAGGTGGCAATGCAGCTTTAGGCTACGTTCACACTAGCGTTGTGTGCAGGCGGCAGAGAGGCGTTTGGGAAGCGTTTTTACCGCTTCCCAAACACCTCTGCCAATTCTGCACATTACAGCACATGGTGCTGTTCTAACGGGAGCGTTTGCGTCATGGCAAAACGGACGCCTCTGGTCGAGTCAGGAGGCGTTGAAGCCTCCTATTCTCGTCTATGGTGCTGCTCCGCAAACGCCCAGCCGGCGTTTCCGGTGCGGTTGCGACGCGTTTGCTGAGCGGTAACACCACTCAAACTGCATTCTAGGCGTTTGTGGGGCGTTAACGCTCGGCAAACGCCTAGCAACCTCCGCTAAACCGTGCATGCGGCGTTTGCCGAGCGTTAAAACGCTCCGCAAACGCTGGACCAACGCTTTCCAAACGCTATAGGGGTGTTTGGCAAGCGTTGGTAAAACAGCCAAGTGTGAACGAGCCCTTAAAGATGGCAGTGTGCTCCTTTTGTCAGCCTGAAATGTAAAAAAGTGCAGGCTTTCCATGAAAGAGTTAGTGGTCTATGAGCCTTTGTTAGTCTTTAGTTATAACTCATTTCTGCACTCCCAGCATGCTATGCATAAACAAAGAAATTTTTTTAATATTTTATTTTTGCAAATACATGATTTAAAAAATTAAACCAATCCAATATTTCTAAATTGCCTTTTTTTTTATTTCAGGGAGCTCAGTTCCTAACAGAGCTTGCACCTCTATGTAGAATAACGTGTAGCGATGGTGATGAATATACTGTTTATAGGTATGTTTGTTTTTTTTTTCCCCTTGTCATAATTATTGCATATATATATATATATATATTGGTTGCAAGTGTGTTAGATTAAATACTATATAAATGTAATCACAGTGCTTTCATACTTCCTGTGGGGAACATCCCTTAATGCTAAGCTGTATTGGTTTTGGGGCACTTTTTCCTGTTTCATTGTGGTTATATTACATTTCCTGAGCTGATGCTTTATACAGTATCTCTCTGTAATTGTGTGTGTGTGGATATATTTATTTGTTGTTTTTTTACGAATGAACGTTCACAACTGAACTTTCACACTTCTAGGAAGATGTATTTTGATAATCAATGGGAATGTATGAAAGTGCATGTGAACACGCATTATAATGTGTGTCTGTAGTGCTTGGTGCTTAAGCTGGCCATAGATTGATCTATTGGAGCTAGGTTGGTTCAACAGAGACCCGCTGAATTTCAACAGTGTGTTATTGTATCTGTTGGACAGAAGTTGATTGTTTGATCAGTTTCTGTTGAACAGGCTTATTAAGTGTTCTTGCATAGCAAGGAACACTTATTGTTATCTCACATATATATTCTTATTCTTATTATAGCCATATTTGCCACGCTAACTCCTCCCACAGTTTTTTTACACTACAAATACAAGTAATATATCAAAACGTGCGGATTGTTCCCGATCGGATTGCTATTACTTTGTGGAAACGTTTCGCCGAATCGTTCACGAAATATCGTGTTTTTGTGGCGAAATTTTCCCATAGGAATGCATTGAACAACTAGAGTGAGAAGTGACAAATCTAGAGTGTAGGAGGAAAAAATCGGAACATGATTTGTAAACTGCCACCCCTCCCATTGACTTTCATTGAAACTTCACTCACAGCCACCTGAAATGTTAAGGGGCGTTTTTAAACTGCGACTGTGCCTTCATTTTTAATCTTGCAGAGACATACTATACATCAAAATTTAGGTCTGTTTCTTGTGATTGTCACAATATAAACCTTTTCACAGTAGCATTTATACAAAAACTACAAGCGTTTGAAGATGGCAATCGCCAGTGAATTTGGCAAGTTTGACCAGTGTGTTTAGAGTAGAGCTTCTCACACACCTGTGACTGAGTCACAGGTGCAACCAAAGGTCACTCAGGGGGCAGCTGAGTCACATTAGAGTGAGAAGTGAGAAAGCTACAGTGTGAAAGGAAAAATCAGAACATGATTTGTAAACTGCCATCACTCTGTCATTTTCAAGCCCCACTACACATATCTTATATCAAAACGTTCAGCTAACCCTGCTGTCACTAAAAATGTTCACGAATGCCAGTAGTGTACCGCGCTCCAATATATTCTACCTTATGTGATATAATGAATTCATAAGTGTACCACCGATAATCAAATAATTACATCAATTAATTATACTTAAATATATGATTTGTGTAAATATATAAAATAAATTAATTTATCAATGTGAAAAAACAAAAACTATGAATAAAAAATATAAATAAAAAATAAAAAATTTTGCAGTGGGAATGACAGTTCCTTCTGTATAAATGAGATGGTGTTATTATTCAGTCTGGATAAAAATAAAAATAAAATTAAAAATAAAAATAAAATAAAATAAAAATAAAAAAAAATTAAAAAATAAAATTAAAAAAAAATAAAAATAAAAAATTAAAAATAAAAATTAAAATAAATAAAAATAAAATTAAAATAAAATTAAAATTAAAATTTAAAATAAAAAAAATAAAATAAAATTAAAATTAAAATAAAAAATAAAAATAAAAATAAAAAAAAAAAAAAAAAAAAAAATTAAAAATAAAATAAAAATTAAAAATAAAATAAAAATTAAAAATAAAATAAAAATTAAAAATAAAAAAATTAAAAATAAAATAAAAATAAAAATAAAAAAAAAAAAAATAAAAAAAAAAAAAAATTAAAAATAAAAATTAAAAATAAAATAAAAAAATAAAATAAAAAAAAATAAAATTAAAAATTAAAAATTAAAATTAAAAATAAAAATTAAAAATAAAAATAAAAATAAAAATTAAAAATAAATAAAAATAATAATTGATATCCCGATAAGACACTATGTTTCTTTTCCCTTCTCTGTATGTTCCATATATGGAGGACTAAGCCAAGCAGCCAGTGGAGAAAGTCTCACTGAGAAGGCTGTGCTGAGGAGAGAGGAGAGAGAGGTTCACGCAGTGGACACAGACTCATCACACTATCCAGACTGAATAATAACACCATCTCATTTATACAGAAGGAACTGTCATTCCCACTGCAAATATTTTTTATTTTTTATTTATATTTTTCATTCATAGTTTTTGTTTTTTCACATTGATAAATTAATTTATTTTATATATTTACACAAATCATATATTTAAGTATAATTAATTGATGTAATTATTTGATTATCGGTGGTACACTTATGAATTCATTATATCACATAAGGTAGAATATATTGGAGCGCGGTACACTACTGGCATTTATGATTAATATTTATACACCTAGAGAGGGTGCGATTAGTACCTGGCGATCTAATATTTAATTAATACTAATTTTAGCACGCAATTAATTATCGTAATTAATTTGTAATATTTTATTATTTATATATTTTTCACATATTTTTTTTATATTTCTTAAGTATGATATCAATTAACAATAGAGTTTATATATAGAAAGAAAACTCCTAGTGGCTCACAAGTAACTATCCAACTTTTTATAAAAATGTTCACGGCTAGGACATACTCCTGATAGTTTTCACAATATGACCATTTGTTTGCACCTCACCCCTCCCATTGACTTTCATTGAAACTCCACTCTAGACACCAGAAATTTTAAGGGACTTTTTGTAAACTGCGACTGTGCCTTCATTTTTTATCTTTCAGAGACATACTATACATCATAATTTAGCTCCGTTTCTTGTGATTCTTGCAATACCAAGCTCTTCGCAGTAGCATTTATACTTTTAAAACTACAAGCGTTTGAAGATGGCAATCGCCAGTGAATTTGGCAAGTTTGACCAGTGTGTTTAGAGTAGAGCTTCTCACACACCTGTGACTGAGAGTCACAGGTGCGTCACTCAGGGGGCAGCTGAGTCACATTAGAGTGAGAAGTGAGAAAGCTACAGTGTGAAAGGAAAAATCAGAACATGATTTGTAAACTGCCATCACTCTGTCATTTTCAAGCCCACCTACACATATCTTATATCAAAACGTTCAGCTAACCCTGCTGTCACTAAATATGTTCACGGCTAGGACATACTCCTGATAGTTTTCACGATATGACCATTTGTTTGCACCTCACCCCTCCCATTGACTTTCATTGAAACTCCACTCTAGATACCTGAAATTTTAAGGGACGTTTTTACACTGCGACTGTGCCTTCATTTTTTTTTTTTTAAGAGACATACTATACATCGGAAGTTAGCCCTGCTTCTTGTGATTATCACAATATAAGGCTCTTTGCTGTAGCATTTATACTTTTAAAACTACAAGTGTTTGAAGATGGCAATCGCCAGTGAATTGGCAAGTTTAAACACTGCTTAGAACAGACATGCTGACAATCCTAAGTGAGTGAGTTTGCTACAGCAACCAAACATGACTCACACGCAGCTGTGTCATTAAGGCTAACTGTGAACTCCAAAATACAAGCTGAAATCCATTTATCCCTCTGTCAGGCTTGCTATGTGCACTGCTTACATTTCATCAATCATTTGGTAAAGGTTGCGGCAAGAACACTTTACACAATTTCCCCAGAAATTGTAGATTTTCTAGTTTGAAAATGTTTCTCCACGAGGTGGCTGCAGCTAGCCAACTACTGCCACTGACTAGTGTGTTCTGACAGCAGAGTCTCCTCCTGTCAGAATACAATGTCCCAGTGGGAAGGATTCCTCCATCCACCACACTTGTGTGCATGGAGGAATCTGTTTATATTTCTTCAGCTCTGAAAGAAAAAAAAAATCAATTGTCTATGGCAAGCTTTAGACTTGGTTATCAGATTCTGAAAAGATCTAAAATTGCCTGGAACAGTTCAACCTAATTTCTTTTGATACAACCCCAAGAAAACAGATCATAAATGCAATGGTCTCTCAACATAGGGTGGGTAACAGCACAAACAGAATGCAAAATGACATTTTTCTTAAGCAACAACAGATTGACATTTTCTGCAGTCTTGGGGGGTTCCTCCTCTCGGTTCTGTCCATCCTAGCACAATGCAAACCAATCAGTGCACACTGCTGAGTTTCGGTAGTCATCATAGTATTTCTTCAGTTGTAAAGACCCCCCCCCCCCCCTTTAATTTTCTGTAGTAGGCAAGACCTCTGCTCTGCGAGTTCAAATAGTTGCAGTTTGAGTCCAATAGGTTGATCTGAAAATCATGTATTAAAGTGATATGAACCACTTCAGCCTTTACGACATCCACGTACATGGCAAGATTGAAGGGTTTGTGCCAGCATGATGCCTGTGTGTGTTTTTTTTTTTTTTTTTTTAAAGCTGATGATGGGCTTTAATGTAAGTGCGATCCTAGTGGCTAATACCTGCTGGGATTGTTTTTTCCTTCTGTCCTGACAAGTGCTTCAGTCCCTGCTGCAGTCTCTGCTGCAGTCTCTTGGATTTTATTTCCCTCCCTGTGTTTGATGGACTTGGTGGCCCACTGCAGGTGTGCAGAGTGGAGAGGACACACAGTGGAGCTGTGTGGGTTTTCCAAAGCTTCTTTTTGTCCATGTCACCAATTTTTCCTTTTTTGTCTGGGAGTTTTTGCCTTATTGCACCCTAGGTGGGAGTGTATGGAAAGCAAATAGCCAGGGAGGGGACTGACCTGGGTGCCAGCCAGGAAGTCCAGGTCTTCTGCGTGCCATCCCACCACATCTCCTCTGTCAGCTCACATGGGCAGACTGGAGGATCCTTGGTTCTGTGTGCCATTAGGAAGGTGATTAGCTACACCTGATTGAGTTTACACGTTCTTTTTAGGAGGGGGTCAGGGCGGACAGACCACTGGGAGTCTGCCTGAATAATGTGTCCGCCTGAAAATAGGACACATTATTCAGACAGAAATGTGACTCAGAGTGGGGAGTCCGAGATGGGAGCAGATAAGGAGCCGGGACTGTCAGTCACAGTGAGGAGAGCCGGGGAGGAGGCTGAAGCAGAAGCCCCCGATCCAGGAAGGAGCTCATATTAGGTGAATAGACACGGACTCCTTCACCACTGAGAGTATCGCTCTCCTTCTCCTCCCCCCACTCCCACTCCCCCCCCCCCCCCCTCTCTCTCCCCCCTCCCCCCCCTCCCCTCTCCCCCCCGGAACCTCTCCCCCCCCCCCTCCCCTCCCCCTCTCTCCCTCCCCCCCCCCCCTCTCCCTCCCCCCCCCCCCCCCCACCCCCCCTCCCCTCTCCCCCTCTCCCTCCTCTCCCCCCCCCTCTCCCCCCCTCTCCCCCTCCCCCCTCCCTCTCTCTCCCCCCTCCTCCCCCCTCAGTCTCTCTCCCTCCCTCCCCCCCCCCCTCTCCCCCTCCCACCCCACTGCCCTCTCCCTCCCTCTCCCCTCATCCCTCTCCTCCCCTTCTCTCTCCCCATCCCCTCTCCACTCCTCTCTCTCTCCCTCGTCCCTCTCTCCCCCTCCCTTCTCCCTCTCCCCCCTCACCCCCCCCTCCCCCCTCCTCATCTCCCCCCTCTCCCCCTCCCTCTCTCTCCCCTTCTCCCTCTCCCTCTCTCCCCTCTCTCTCTCCCCTCTCCCCTCTCTCCCCCTCCCTCTCCCTCTCTCCCCCTCTCCCTCTCCTCTCTCCCCCTCCCTCTCCCCCCCCCTCTCCTCCCCCTCCCCTCCCCCTCCCCCCCTCTCCTTTCCCTCTCTCTCCCCCTCTCTCTCCTCTCTCATCTCTCCTCTCCCCCTCCCCTCTCTCCCCTCCCCCCTCTCTCCCCCTCCCTTTCCCCCTCCCCCCTCTCTCCTCCCCCTCTCTCTCCCCCTCCCCTCTCCCTCCTCCCCCTCCCCCCTCTCTCCCTCCTCCCTCCCTCCCCCCCCCTCTCCCTCTCCCCCCTCCCCCTCCCCCTCGCTCCTCCCCCTCCCCCTCCCCCCCCCCCCCCCCTCCTCCCTCTCCCCCTCCCCCCCTCTCCCCTCCCCCTCTCCCCCTCTCTCCCCCCTCCCTCTCCCCCCTCCCCCTCTCCCCCCCCTCCCCCCTCTCTCCCCCTCCTCCCCTCTCCCCCCCTTCCCTCCCCTCCCCCCCCTCCCCCCTCCTCCTCTCTCCCCCCCCTCCCCTCCCTCTCTCTCCCCCCTCCTCCCCCTCCCCGCTCTCCCCCCCTCTCTCCCCTCTCTCCCTCTCCTCTCCCCCCTCTCCCTCTCTCTCTCCCCCTCTCCCTCCCTCTCCCCCTCTCCCTCTCTCTCTCTCCCCCTCTCCCTCTCTCTCTCTCCCCCCCTCCCTCCTCTCTCTCTCTCCCTCCCTCTCTCTCCCTCTCTCTCTCCCCCCTCCCTCTCTCTCTCATCCCCCTCTCCCTCCTCTCTCTCTCCCCCCCCCTCCTCTCATCTCTCTCGCTCCCCCAAAAACCACATCCATTTTTGTGCACACCACACTTCTTTCTGTGCTGTCAGGGCCCAAATTATGATCTTGGACACAGGCCCAGTGCTTTTATAACTTGCCCCTGGTTGCATCATAAAGCATGCCACAGCCATCTTTAAACCTGGAAGTGCCCAGGGACTTCTACAGAAAGAAGCCAGGAACTTCCTTGCAGGCTGTGCTATGTAAATACCCCCCTATGCAGCTGAGCTGCAATATGTAGGTGGGCATTGTGTGGTTGTAGCTTGTGTGGGCGGAGACATGGTGGCCCCCATGAGTTATTAGTCTGCCCCTGGAGGGGGTGATCCTTTTTCCAACTTGGTGATTCTATTTGTTTTTTTTTTTACTTTTCTGACATGTTGGTGTTCTATCTTTCACTTGGATGTTATAAGTTGGACTAAATACAGTAAATACAACTGGATAAAACAAAAAATCTGTCTTCATTTCAGGCTGCAAAGCAACAAAATGTGATTATTTTAAAGGGGGGTGATTCTTTTATACACCCATTGTAGAAGAGAGATGTCAGAATTGGCCAGGAGCTCAAGTGGTAAAAGGCTCAAATATATACACTATATTGCCAGAAGTATTGGGACGCCTGCCTTTCCACACATGAACTTTAAGGGCATCCCAGTCTTAGTCCATAGGGTTCAATATTGAGTTGGCCCACCCTTTGCAGCAGCTATAACAGCTTCAACTCCTCTGGGAAGGCTGTCCACAAGGTTTAGGAGTGTGTCTATGGGAATGTTTGACCATTCTTCCAGAAGTGCATTTGTGAGGTCAGGCACTGATATTGGACGAGAAGGCCTGGCTCGCAGTCTCCACTCTTACTCATCCCAAAAGTGTCCTGTCGGGTTGAGGTCAGGGCTCTGTGCAAGCCAGTTAAGTTCCTCCACCCCAAATTCGCTCATCCATGTCTTTATAGACCTTGCTTGTGCACTGGTGCGCAGTTATGTTGGAAAAGGAAGGGGCCATCCCCAAACTGTTCCCAAAAAGTTGGGAGCATGAAATTGTCCAAAATGTCTTGGTATGCTGATGCCTTAAGAGCTCCCTTTTTTGGATCCAAGGGGGCGAGCCCAACTGTTGAAAAACAACCCCGCATCATAATCCCCCCTGCACCAAACTTTACACTTAGCACAAGGCAGTCGGGCAAGTACCGTTCTTCTGGCAACTGCCAAACCCACACATGTCCATCAGATTGCCAAACAGAAGCGTGATTCGTTACTCAAGAAAACACATCTCCACTGCTGCTCCAGTGGTGGTGTGCTTTACACCACTGCATCCAATGCTTTGCATTGCACTTGATGATGTAAGGCTTGGATACAGCTGCTCGGCCATGGAAACCCATTCTGAAGCTCTCTGCAAACTGTTGTGCTAATCTGAAGGCCACAGGAAGTTTGGAAGTCTTTTGCTATTGACTCTGCAGACAGTTGGCAACTTCTGCACACTGCGCTTCAGCGTGTGCTGACCACACTGTGTCCTTTTACGTGGCCTACCACTTCATGGCTGAGTTCCTGTTGTTCCTAGTTGCTTCCACTTTGTTATAGTACCACTAACAGTTGATTGTGGAATATTTAGTAGCAAGGAAATTTTGAGGATGGACATGTTACAACCTATGATGGTACCACACTTGAAGACATGGAGCTCATGAGAGGGACCCATTCTTTCACAAATGTTTGTAGAAGCAGTCTGCAGGCCTAGGTGCTTGATTTTTTTTTTTTTATATACGTGTTTGTGTTTTCTCTAATATAAACATTAAATGCTTACCTGCTCTGTGCAATAGTTTTGTGATGTTATAGGTTTTCTATCGAATGATCGCTCTACCCTTGATGCTATATTAAAAGATTAGGTCCCTTTGTATAAATGCTCCAGATTAAATAGACCTCTTCTAATGAACCTAACTCCCCGGTAAAGGTTATTGCCAATACTTGTTTATGCCTCTATTTCTCCATGCTATAACTTCTATTCCTCTGTTTAACCTGCATGCCTTTTGGGACAGGGAAGAAAGGGTAGATGACTAGATAATCTCACACAATGTAAATCATAAGTGCTTTTTTTTTTTTTTTTTTTTTTTTTATTTGAATATCCAAAGACTTGAATGAATTTAATGTTTTCCTTTGGTACTATTACATAATGTACATACCTTAATTCTGCATGTTTAATTTTGTTATATCTAGTTGTATCAGAGGTCGGCTACTAGAAGTTAATGAACATATTCTTCACAATCCTGAACTGTTAAAAGAAAAGGTAAATATAGATCACTCATACACACTTTTTTTTTTTTTAGCAATTTCCATCTAAAAGAACTCCAAATAGTTGTTTGCAAACTTGTTTTTATCTATCGCTCGATCTATACACTGCTCAAAAAAATTAAAGGAACACTTTTTAATCAGAGTATAGCATCAAGTCAATTAAACTCCTGGGATTTTGATCTGGTCAGTTAAGGAGCAGAGGGGGTTGTTAATCAGTTTCAGCTGCTTCGGTGTTAACGATAATAAAAACAGGTGTACTAAATGGGCAACAATGAGACAACCCTCAAAACAGGAATGTCTTTACAGGTGGAGGCCACTGACCTTTTTTCCCTACTCCTCCTCCTCTTTTTTTTGACTTTTTTACACTAGTTTTGCATTTGGCAAGGGTCGGTGTCACTACTGGTAGCATGAGGTGATATGGGACCCTACAGAGGTTGCACAGGCAGTCCAACTCCTTCAGGATGGCACATCAATACGTGGCATTGCCAGAAGGTTTGCTGTTGTCTCCCAGCACAGTCTCAAAAGCATGGAAGAGATTGCAGGAAACAGGCAGTTACTTTAGGTGGTGGGTCAGTGATGGTCTGGGCAGGAATATCCATGGAGAGACGCACAATGGCATCCTGACTGCCATTAGGTATCGGGATGAAATCCTTAGACCCATTGTCAGACCCTACGCTGGTGCAGTGGGTCCTGGGGTCCTCCTGGTGCACAACAATGCCTGGCCTCGTGGCAATAGTATGCAGGCAGTTCCTGGAGGATGAAGGAATTGAATGGCCCCCACGCTTGCCTGACCTAAATCCAGTAGAACACCTCTGGGATATCATGTTTCGGTCCATCCGACGCCAGGTTGCACCTCAAAACTATCCAGGGGCTCTGGGAGGAAATACCCCAGGTCACCATCCGTCGTCTCATTAGGAGAATGCCTTGACGTTGTCAGGCATGCATACAAGCACGTGGGGACCATACAAATTACTGAGTACCATTTTAAGTTTCTGCAATGAAGTTTCAGCAAAATAGACTAGCCTGCTGCATAATTTTTTCATTTTGATTTTTTTGGGGTGTCTTTGAATTCAGTTCTCTCTCTGTAGGTTCATAATTTTCATTTCCATCAAATGATGGGACATCCTTACGTTCCTAACACATTACCCAGTTATTATAGATCGTAGCCTCCATAGCGGTCTGATTATGTCAGTATTTCTGTGCTCAAAGCGGTACATTTTTTTTGCATGGAAATATGTATTTTTTTTTTTTTTTATTATTGTAGGCTTGTAACTGTTAGGAATAACTCACTGAAATCTGTTCGAACAAGAGTCTGGTAAACATACCAGGTATGTTAAAATTTGAAAAATGAAATCATAAATTATAATTTAATAATAAATCATAAACAATAATAAAATAAGAATAAGTGTAATTCAATAATATAATCAAACCAAAAACACAAAAATTTGAAATATAGCGCCAAGTTCGCACATCACTGAGCAAAGTCGCAAAATCGGTTTCAGTGTCTGATGATGAATTTCTCTACGAATCATCACTTAATTCTGCAAGTGGTTCTGATATACTATCGCGGTTCTCTAGCTGGTCTAAAACCGCTTTTGACCTAAAGGGACGCTTTTTGGACACCATGGACCTTTCTCAGTTTCCAGGCAGAAAAAACGGTAAAAATGTAGGCAGGGGGCGCAGGACAAAGCACTCGGGACAAAATGTATGTAAAATGGTTTGATACAGGAATGTTATACTATGTGATTTTAGTGTATTTAGTGAATGTCACTTTTTCACGCTTTTAAATTTCCCGCCGTTCCGTCCCTGTAAGTCCTGACGTTGCAGGGAACGGAACCCAGAAGGCGGATGCTGACATCGGCTGGAGGAGATGGCCAGGGACACTGCAGGCGGGACATCGCGGGAGCGCAGGACAAGGTAAGTGAAGAAGAGATCCCGGAGCAGCGCTGCAGGGTATTCCCCAGTGTAGCTCGGGGTTACCACTTGTGGTGCTGAAACTTTACCCCGAGCTGCACTCGGGAATACCTCCAGGGAGGTTAAGCATGATATTTTTCCTCATTGAGATCTGATGTGTTTTCAAAGTGTTCCTTTAATTTTTGTGTGAGCATATTTTCTGAGTTGAATAATTGCAGCAAAACTCTTAATCATTAGGTTGTATTGATTTGTATAGGAGTGTAAAACATGCTGTTCATTTCGTCCAGGTTACTGCACTATTTGTTTGTTCTTCAGAATGGTAGTTTGAGACTAAACCCAGAAAAAACAGTTGATATTTCACACAAACTGTAAAGTAAAGGCCAATTTTACCATTTCAAATTTTAAAGTGCTTGTAAACACTTGCATATACCCAGTGAAGTAACTAGCCTCAGGCGATACACAGAGATAAAGCAAATCCTTCTACATAGGTTTTACCTGTTTATCTGCAGCATTTCCTCTGTAGATCATTCTTAAACAACACAGACCAATTTTTTCTCAGCAGTAGAATGCAGGGGGCAGGGTCTTACATTGTGCACACTGCAGAGCTAGAGCACAGAGCTCAGTGAAATTTGATGACTGATTGGAGGGAAGGAACACATCCCCAACAGCCAAAAAAAGAAGAAAAAAAAAGAGCTGAGTCTGAGTCATCTGCCGTGGTGTGCTGGAGGGGAGGGGGGGTAATTTGTTTCCTTTTCTGTTTCTATCCCTAACTGCCAAAAATCAAACCATGAAACCCATGGCAGTGTTGGGAGGAGGCAAGGATTGAATTTCCTATTTTTTATTTTTTGGGGGGGGAAGGCATGAACACTGTTGGGGGGGGGGGGGGGTCGGTAATAACCGTTCACAAACTCTTAATCTACAATTTGTGACAAAATAGGACTTTAGAGAGTCCTTTTTGCCTGGCATTCCTCCTGAAATATAGCAGTGCATCTCCTCTGACTGATAGTGTCACAATATTTGGTGCTGTCACTACTGTGCTGCTCACAATTATTTGCTGGTCAGAGAGGTGCTTCTGAGGTTGTGCACACCAGCATCTCTCTTTCTTTACTCTATGCACCTTTTTTGTTTTTGAACCTCCTCTGCTTAACCACTTCAGCTTTCCTACATTTTTATATCAAAACAAACAAACACCACAAGGATAAAGCACCTCTAAGGCCACAAAAAGCAGTTTTATTTAACTGGACATAAAAAAAATATAATATATCAAACAAATCCCCCCCACCCACACCCCCCCCCCCCCTCAGAGCTACTCCAACTTCCCCAGAAATGAAGCTGACTTTCTCCACATTCCAAAAGTCCCAGAACCCCAACTTGCCCACACACCTCCCTCCTGTAACCCTAGATCTCCTTTCCCTTGGATGGATAGAAAATAGCCCCCCAGTATAACAGGCAAGGATGACCAGTCCCCATTAGTGGTTCATTTTGAACAAAATAATAAATCATCCCTGAAAGGTATTAAGTGTGCTTCCATTTACCTATTAACATTATCAGAGAGAAGGGACAAGGAAGTCCTCTTGCAAAAAAAAAAAAAAGCGCAATGGATTAACCCCCCCATGCTTTAATCATTTAATTATCATTACAGCCGTTCTTGTGAAAATGTATTTTGAGGTATGAAGGAGAGATGAGCTGTACCACCCTTGTTTTTTTTCACTTTGTGATGTGGCTTCCATGTATATTGGCACCCACACTGAGCCCATAAAAAATAGAACAAACAAACTTTTTGGTCATACAAAAGCTGCCCTTTTTACTGATCCAGCCTATTTCATTGGTGGATCTTAACAGTAAAGTGGCTATTACCGCTGCCAGACAGGCTTCAGAGCTGGCCGCCTTGTCCTGCAGAGCACCCTTTTTTGTCTTGCAGAAGGGCCAAGTGGTGTTGCTTTCGAATGCTTCCTTTTCCAGAAGTTGGTGTCTGGTAAATAAATACATTTACCCTCCCTCTGTCTGTCCTCCTAAGAGCCAAAAGGTGCCACCGGTCACCTTCTTGGATGTGGTACATGCTGTGAGGGTTTATATTGCGGCTACTGCCTCAAGCAGACCTTTTGGAACCGCTCTGTTTTGCCTTAAGGGGCCAAAAAGGGTTCTTCAGTTTCAAAATACAGACTTGAAAGGGGATTTCTTCTTCGCTGTACAGTGTCATTAAGGTCTTTCATATTGCGTATCTAGCTCCTGGAGTTGTCAAGAGACTGGTGTTTACAGGATATACTACATGCTTGTGGTTTTATGGCCTTTGTTAGTATTTATATAAATATATGGTGTTTGAGGCAATCAACTAGACTTCTGCTTCTTTCATCTTTTTGATCTGTTCTCAAGCCTTTTCTCTGAAGGGTAAGGTGCCTACCTTCCCCATTAAAGCTCATTCTACAGCCTCTGTTGGCATGTCTTGAACGTTTCAAACATCTGGTTTCTGTTGCACAGCTTTGCAAGGCTAGTAGCTGGTCTTCTGTGCATACCTGCAACCCAAAACTAGCATCAACCAAAGCCTGAATATCCACTCAGTAAAACTTGGCAATGTAGCCTGTTAGTTCCCTCTCTTCAAATACCGCTTTGGGATGTCCCATTCATTATTATGTACAACTTGTGTCCTGTACTGTGCAAGAAAATTGGATTCCTGGGGTACAGGACACACACAACTGTTTCCCCTCTGTGCCTTTTGGTCCTTCATTCATTGCTTGCTAAAAACCCGAAGGATCGCTTGGTATGAGGAGTTATGAGGGTGTGTCTAAAGCTTTCTGTAGCTTTACCTGTATCTAATCACCTGAAGATATAAAACCCATCTGCAGGGGGGCGTGGTCTCCCGCGGCTGGATGATGGCCGCCTAGAGAGAGAGCTCCCGCCGGCCGGATCCCTCTACACAGCCTTACAGAGGAGCGGGGTGAGTGAGTACTGTCTCACTATGGGGAAGTCGGACCGGACATCAGCCGGTGCCCGATCACGATCCCCACGGAGCCAGGGAGCGCAGGGGCGGCATATACAGGAGCTCTTCCGCTCCCAGCAGCGGAGGGAAGGGCCGCAGCCATC